CCACCTTCTAAGGATAAGGTCCTGCATTTCTAAAAATACTAGAATTGATTTTGAAAATAAAATCAAAACCTTCCACTCCCTTTCTTAAGGGGCCCCCCTACTGGCTTACCCTCATCTCACTTGAAATGATATACTCATTTTTGCTAAGCCTGGTTTTCCCTCTTCTTCCAAAGAAGACTTTGGATGTAATGCTTGTAAAGTAAAACTATTTTTTCTCCATTTTGTGCCATTTTGACATGAATCAAAGCTTTCTAAGAATGGACATCTTCATGTGGCTACAACATAATAATGGCTTTAAGGTACTCAAAACAGAAACAAAAAAAGGTCTCCTAAGACGAATTATCTTTAGTTGCTTATGCTGTATGCGTTCCATTATATTTTAGTTGATTGATGTAAGTTGACAAGAACACCAAGGCATACATAACTTTTTGAAAAATCTAAGATACTGAATTAATAACACCAAATTCCTGACATATGGCAGGGACAGGAGTTTACTGTCACAGCAAAAGCATTTTTAATCGTGAAACTATACATCAGCGTTCACAACACTTAATGTCGATCTGCTCGTGTTGCTGTGCCAACTAACAGAGACTGAGAAAGATATGATCATAGCTTACTGGAGCTTATCAAAGATACACAGACAAATTTAAATTCAATACTTAAACGTCATAAGTCAACAATTCTGTAATTTTAGGAAAGCATTAGCAGTAACCATTCAAGCACTTCCCAAGAGATAAGGGTGGCTTCAGCTAGCAGACATCAAGTACTCGAGTTCTTCTGCAGGAGACCTTATCTCCTGGAAACAATGTATCTAGAGGCTAAGAGAGCTTGATGTCATTAACCATTCAATTCCTTTAATTTCCAGACTTTAGAGTCCCTCCCCACCAAGATGACATGATTTCGTCTTGTTTCCCACGCAGGTTTACCAACAAGGACAGAACCCTCCGGCTAGGCAAACACCAGTGCCCTGGACCCCATAACAGTTTTGTTTTTCATCATTAATGACTAAAGAACCTTGTGATTATGATACTGCTTCCCGGGTAACTTGACGACAGGAAGAAAACATACAAACATAGCAAGACAGGTCTTCTGGTGCGGGGGACAGAAATTTATTCTGTGATTCCAAATTAGGCGTCCAACTTCAGCTGCCATTCTCAAACTTAGTTTAACACGCATCTAACCTCGAATCTTGGGTCCAAATCTTACCAATATGATATGTATCAAGGACTCTGAGCCTGAAAGGCTGAAACACACACCATGGACCACAACATTCTCGAAGGTAATAAACATCATGCAGTCACATATCCAGGTAGATGCCTACAAACCTTCCCCAGGTGGACACAATCTTCTGCAGTCCTGTGTAGTCCAAGCAAAGTGTATTTTCATCCTACAAACTTCTATACTAAAAGCCCATTAATTTATCTTACAAGATGGATGTTGTGAAATAATAGGAAACATATATATATTGGTCTCTGCCCTCAGTTCCTGACACAGAGCTCCTAAAACTCTTGTACAGGGAAGCAAGCACTCAGAAAATCTTTTGTTCTAATATTTTTAGTGCCAGACACAAAGCTCCCAGAAGCTCTGTAATCTCCTGAGTGATAGGATCGTCTGACATCGAGCTCTTAAGTCCCTTGGAATTTGGAGGTTGATAAGAACACCTTTTGTTTTAATGGAGCAACTTTGGGTGGGCTCCTTGGCTGGTCACTGGAGAGACCAAGTCATGCTTAGAAGCTGAGAATTTTCAGGTCCACCCATCATTCTCTGGAGAGGGGAGAGAGGCTAGAAATGGAACCAATAATCCATCATGCCTACATGAAGCCTTCATAAAAATCCCAAGAGTATGGGGTCTGGAGAGCTTCCAAGGGGATGAACATACCCATACTGGGAGGTCTTCACAGGGACAAAAGCTCCTGCACTCAGGACACTTCTGTACCTTGCCCTATGTATCTGACTGTTCCTTGGTATCCTTTATCAGATCCTTTATTATATCATAAGCTGGTAAACGGACTTCTGTGTTTCCCTGAGTTCTGTGAACCACTCAAGCAAATTCTCACATCCAACATGAGGGTTATCAGAATGCTGATTTCTAGCCAGGCAGTAAGATGTACCAGGGATGACCTAGGACTAGGGTCTGAAGTGAGGGGGTCTTGTAGGACCAAGTCCTTCACTTGTGGGATCAGCTGTTAACTCTAAGTAGATAGAAACAGAACTGAATCCAACTGTAGAATGCTCACCTGGCATCACAGAATTGGTTGGTGGAGGGGAAACCCCACACATTTGGTGACCAGAAGTGAAGTATTGTGTGTGAGAGTCCAGGAGACACAGAGGAGAGACTGTCCTAGACACATGGTCTCTGGTTTCTTTTAGCAATTTTAAATTAACTTCCGCAAATGAAAAAGTTTATTATTTTAATTTCTCATTGCATTCCACATTGAACAGTAAGGTTTTTTTTCTTTTTCTTTTTTTTTTTTTTTTACGAATGAAGAAGAAAAATGTTTGCCTTCTGTGGTGACAGCGAAGAAAAAATTTGTATTTGTATCAAAGACTCCAGACTTAACTCACAGGTTCTCAACAGAACTCTGCAAGAAGGAAACTGATAGGAAAAAGTGAACGTACCCAGGAGAAACTGTCAGAACCCTCAGCAGGGAGAGGAGGAGAGACAATCTCAACACCACGGAACAGATGGAAACTACCGCACGCGACTGAAAAGAATCAAAAATTAGTCTCCATGCTGGTGTGAGAGGCGGTAACAAGAGAATGGTGATGCTCGGTAATTTTAGCAGTCAGCTCAGCTAAGACATTCAGCTAAAACAAGGTAATCTCTGCCCCATTGTTAATGGAAAATGATAGCTTCGCCACAATCCCAATTTTCCAACAGTATTCAAGGGGAGACTAGTTCTGACCACCTGATTTCTGTAACTGCTTTATTCAAACCTTGAAAGGACACGTGCAAAAGATTAGAGGATCTGCTCCCACACTCTTTCCTAAGAGAGGCCCCAGGAGCACAGAAAAGGGCGTTCACGAGAGAGTCAAACAAGAAATTAAAGTCTACTCTGGAAATGCTGGCCACTAAAATAACACTCATCTAATATATGGACGTTTTTCCCCACTAAATAAGGTATGCGCCGACAGGTCCCACGCCAACCGCAACTCCACTTAGGTGCAAATACCCGCCAACAATTACAGAAGCCACAGTATCTCTCTGGAACAGGCCTGTTATTCCAATCATTGTGAAGACCATATAGATCCCTCCAAAGCCAGGGAGCAAACACAAGGTACTGGTATAGGAGGTAACGATCCTTTTCCTATTTAAACATGCTTCTTCCACGTTGCTCAAGGAGAGCCTCCACAAACTCCTTCAACCCACCTCCCCTCCCTGCGGACTCCGTTACCACCTATAGGTCTCGACCTCTGAGGAAGCCCTCATCTGGTAAAAACACGTCGGTGTTCAAATTTCCAGCACCCTGGCTTCGGTTCTCTGGCGCGATCAAGATACTAACTCGGGGTAATTTAAAACTTCATTCCATAATCACTTTATCTTTCTCCAATTCTCAGAGGATTCTAGATTAAAATTGGCACTCTTCTGCTTTTTCCAGTCTCTGAGGCAAACAACATGAAACAATTGTCCTCCAGCTCGACTTTAATTTCTCTTTCCCCACTTTGCCAAAAATGCCACAGGGAAGAAATCAAAACAACTAAGCGTTTGCTTGAGTTTTTGCCAAGAAAACTTTCCCTGACTTCCCTGATGGCACAAATTCCCTTTAAAAAAAAAAAAAATCCTCTTCCACGTGAAAACAAAAGCGAACAGAACCATGTTTCTGCCTTTTCCAAAAGCCCGTTTTATATGGATAGTCCAACTGGGCCTACCCATGGCCTCTTTCTGCAAACCCCCGGGAACCTTTACACTGGCTGGAGCGAGGACCTCACAAGAAGGTAACATTTACAGCGATGTTCAGGCAGCAGTAACACAGGACCCAAAGGGACTGCTCTAAGTTTTCCAACAGATTAAACTATGGAATACATCCAAGGGAAAAAAATAAAAAGGAAATGAAAATACAATTACAGCTACTGTCAGTGCACCTGTGAAAACCAATACTGCAGGTTTTAGCCAGTGGAACTGGGGTTTTGAATTTGAAATAAAGATCTCTATAATCTGGCAAGTTACTTAACGTGTCTCAACCTTCATTTCCATGACTATTAAATACCAAACGTCAGAGTATTTCAGAAGACTACAGTGATTAAACACCATGTGTCATAACTGACACATTGTAACTGACTGTTCTTCAATAAATAAATAAATAGTAAACTAGAAAAAATAAATAAATAAATAAATAAATAATAAACACCATGTGTCAAATACAAAAACCAAGGTGTATAATAGAAAGAAAATAAGAAAAATTCAAATGAGTATGACTCACACAAGATTTAATCCCAAATTGAATTTCTACCAACTATAAGCCTTTTTCATTTAGCATTTATCACATATAATTCACTCTCTATCAAATACTGTGTGGGTGTCTAGCTCACAATAGTCCTTCTGCCTGCAATTTCCATCTAAGTATCTTTCTATGGGAAGCCATTTCCAACCTGCTAATCTCTCCAAATCTGCTAATCTCCCCAACAATCTGCAAGTTAAGTCCTTCTGTGTTCCCACAGCATTTTGGTGATTATATATATTACACTATAGTGAGAGGCATATCTGCCCCAAGACTTGCTAGAAACCTGGCTTCTGGGGGCGGAAATCCTGTCGTGGCCGATATATTCATTACCTACCAGTGACTAGCACACAGTAGGCAATGAATGAATGAATGAATATATTAATTGTCCCTTTTTTCATCTTCTAAAACCAGGGGGGGAAAACCCAAACACCTCCTAAAGTGATTTTCATTTTTAACACAGACTACAGCAACATAAAGATAAATTTTTCATGTGGACATTTGAGTTTATACCCGCTACCAGCCACCAAAGGGCTTCTATCGCCTCTATACAATACTCACTGGCTGGAACAATGAAATCACCATGTAACTCATAGGTCATAAGCGGCTCAGGAAGACTCCTGTAGGAAAAAGACAGCTGAGAATTACTGAACAAATACGAACAGGTCATCTCTCTCATGTTCATTTTTGATAAAAGGATATGAAATATGTCGTGCATTTCTTGGTTAATGTGCAGAACTTCCCTAGGAGATACATTTTTACATATCAAAGAAGATACATCATTCAAATGAACCCCTTTAGTAAGTGTTATCTGCACCAGGCATATCAAAGCTTAAGCAGCCATCAATCCCTGTCTAGCAAATAGCATTTCACATTTAATCTCAGAAAGTACCTTTACAAACATCTGATTTCATATCCAAAACTTCCTTCCACATATTATTTAGAGTCAAACATTCTATCCAGCCAATATAATATACATAATATAAGCATTATATTAATACATGTTATAATACTATAAGCATACAATTTTGAAAATCATCTCTGGGATATTAATTGGAGATGCCAAAAAAAATAGAAAAGAGTAAACATATTTAAAGAAATCAAATCTTCTCCTCTTACAACTCTATTATAAAAATACAATATCCAATTTTGAATCATGCCTATGAAACAATAGAGATATGAAATAAAATTGATAATAACTTTAAAAACACTCACATCCTTTTAATTTTCTACAAAACAGATTACATAAATAGTAGATTTTATCCTACAGTCAACAGAATGTTACAGTTCAGTCAACATTTATACATATTAAGTTTTAAAAAGACCAGATCTGCAAACTCCAAACATGTAAAGAACACTAAGACAAGTAGCAACCTGTACAGCCTTTCTTGAGGGCAGTTTGGCAAGATAAAAGATAAACACTTTTAAAAGCTTTAAATCATGAAGCCCAGAAATTCCTCTTCAAATGCTTAAAAAAAAAAATCAAAGATACACACAAAAAAATATTAAAAACATATGCAAAAGCGAAGAAAAATGCCAGGGCTAAAGGAGGTCATTTCATACTGATAAAGAGGTCAATTCATCAAGAAGGTGTAACAGTCCTACATATTTATGGGTCTAGTAACAGGATCTTCAAAATACACGAAACAAAAATTGATGGAACTGTGAGGAGAAATCCGTAACTATGGCGGTAGACGTAAATACCTCGGTGTCTCGGTAACTGACAAAACAAATGGACGCAAAGTTAGGGCACAGAAGATCTGAACAAAGCCCTCAACCGACTTCACCTAATTGTAAGTCCTTCACCTAACTGACACTCCATCCAAAAGCAACAGACAATACATTCTTACAGTGGGCGTGAAACATTTATTGAGATAAAGATATTTTGGCCCATGAAACAGATCTCAATAAATTAAAAAGGGTTCAATTTATACAGGACGTTTCTCTGATTACAATAAAAACTGAATTAAAAATTAGTAACAGAAAGATAACTGGAAAACCTGAAAGGAAGGGAAAGCAGGAAGTATCTTGTACTGAACAGAAATGAAAATACAACATATCAGAATTTAAGGGATATCAGTAAAACAACAATTAGGGGTACATTTATACCACTAAGTACCCATCTTAGAAAAAAAGGTCTTAAACTTTTTATCCTAAACAGCCAAAAAGGGAGTAAATTAAACCCAAAATAAGCAGAAAAAACAGAAACAAATATCAGATCAGAAAACAATTAAACAGAAAACAAAACAAAAATATAGAGAAAACAAATGAATCCAAAAACTGATTCTTCGAAATAATCAATAAAGTTGGTAAGTCTAGCCAGAGTATTTAGGAAATAAAAGAGAGAGAACACAAATTACCAACGTCAGGAATAATAAAGGTGACTGAAGAATCTCTGCAGGTATTAATAAGAAAACATTATGAACAATTTCATGCCCACAAATTCAACAGTTTAGATGAAATGGACATACAAACTGCCAAAGCTCACTTCAGAAGAAAGAGGTAACCTGAGTAGTCCCACATCCATTAGAGAAAATGCTATGTAATTAAAAGTCTTGCCAGTAAGGAAATTCTAGGCCCAGATGACCTCACTGGCAAATTCTTCCAAACAATTAAAGAAGAAATAATACCAATTCTATGCAAGTCCTTTCAAAAAAAAAAATATCAGGGAATACTTTCTAACTCACTCTGATGTCAGCATTACCCTAGTATCAAAATTAAAGACATTACAAGAAAACTACTGACCAATCTGACTCATGAATGTCAATGCAACTATTCTAAATAAAATGTTAGCATCTGGAATCCAACAAGGTAAGTGAGAGGATAATACATCACGACTAAGTTGGGTTTAATCAGAGAAATGTAACACTGCCTTCATCTTAAAATAAGATCAATTCAACTCACTACACTAGCAAGCTAAAAAAGAAAAATTGTAAAATCATCTGAATATACAATTCAGGGGAGAAAGGATATACTTTCCTACAAATGGTACTGCAACAACTGGACATCCATATTCAAAAGTGAACTTGGATCCATTCTTCACATCTTACACAAAACTAACTCAAAATAGACCACAGATCTAAGTGTAAAACCTAAAACCACATAACTTCTATAATAAAACATAAAAGAAAATCTCTATGACTAGGCAGAAGGATAGTCCATAAAGTACAGTCCCTATAAACTGACAGAATGGACTTCATCAAAATTTTTAAATGTCCCTTGAAAGGCACCATTAACAGAATGAGAAGACAAGTCACAGACTGAAGAGAACTTTTAAAAAGCACGTATCCAGGAGGGGAGGGTATAGCTCAAGTAGTAGAGCACGTGCTTAGTATGCACGAGGTCCCGGCTTCAATCTCTAGTACCTCTGTTAAAAATAAATAAATCTAATTACCCTCCCGACCCAACCAAAAGATAATAAAGTAGTACAATAATAAATAAAATATTTTTAGTTAAATTAAAAATAAGTAAATAAAAAGCACGTATCTAAGCCCTTGTATCCAAAATATCAAGACTTGGCAAAGGTACAGAGGAAATAGAACCCTTGCACGTTGTTAGTGGGAATGTAAAGAAATACAACTCCTTTGAAAAAAGTTTGTCAGTCTCCCAAAAAGTTAAACATACACCTCCCATGTGATCTGGGCACTATAATCCCAGGATTTACCCAAGAGAAATGAAAGCCTTTGTTCAAAGGTTTGTACACAAAGGTTTCTAGTAGCTTTATTTGTAATAGCCAAAAGCTACCGATAACCAAAGTGTCCATTAACAGGTAAATGGATACAAAAGAAAGTTCTGGTATATCCATAAAGTGGAACACTCGTTAGCATTAACAAAAAATGAACTATGGGTATTTGCTACAACATGGGTGAATCTCTGATTATGCTGAGTGAAAGAATCCAGATTTTTAAAATTACAGGAAACGCAAATTAATGTATACTGACAGAAAGCAGACCAGAGGTTTGTCCAGGGATGAGGGAATGAGAAGGGAAGAGTGAGAGAGAGTTCAAAGGGGCTCAAGGAAACTTTGGGGGAGATGGGTAGGTTCACCATCTTGATGATGGTGATGGCTTCAGATATATATGCATGCGTCAAACTTACCAAAACATATGCTGTCAATATATGCAGTTTATTGTATGTCAATTACACTTGAATAAAAATTATTTAACAGTTGCAAAAATATATCTACAGTCCCCACATATAGTTTTTTAATTGAATAAATTTCACTTGGAACATTGTGTAAGTTGAAGGTGTACAGCCTGTTACTTTAATACATTTATATATTGTGACAGATATGACCACAGACGTAGCAATATTCATCATGAATGTATATATATAATTATAGTACACTACTATTGTCTACATTCATTATGCTGTGCATTCGATCTCTGGTCTATTTACTACTCATTACACGTTTGTACCCTTAAACACCATCAATCTTATTCCTCCACCATCCCCTAGTGGCTGTCATTTTATCTTACATACAATCTATGATGCTGCAGGACACACACACATACAGAAAATAACAACTGTAGGCACTGAAACTAAAACTTAAAGCACTAGTCAAGACAAACTGTTCTCTTACTTCCTCTCTCTCCCCTCTTCATCCCCTATAGTCTCATTTAAAGCAAAATAAAATGAATTTCACCACAGCCTAAATAAAAAAAAAGAAGGGGCAATCAGAAGCAAGCCTCTGGTTTTGTTTCAAAATATGGACAAGCAGGAAGGAGCAATGAAGATGAAAATGCTAACCTGTCAGAGAACGAAAGTTCAAGTTCTGAAAAGAAAGGGGAGGGACGGGGGGGATGAGAACACCCAGAAACCCCACAGAGAGAATTTTCTTTTCCAATAAAAATAAATTTGTATCTAAGTGTCTTCAACATGCTACTTATACCATTGCTGTATGTCCATCCAGGCACTGCAGCATGAAAAAATAAGTATTCAGTACTTTAAATACTAGGGAAGCGATAATAAAAATGATGAGTTCCCAGAATAAAATTTATTATATTGAGTCACCATATCTGTCAACTTCCCACCCAACATGAGCTGCCTCTCTGGACCACTAGTCAGGATCTGTCTGGGGGTATAAAGTGTAATATTTACTAAGTCAGTATTTTCTTCCCCCAGAAGTCCCATTTCTATTTCCAGTCTTTAAACATTTCTTCCAGGTAAAATCATTTTACTACAAACCTCACAAAACAGCTCATTTGTCCCCTCACAATGGCAAAACGTTGAAATGAACACATTACTGGAAAATAAAATTATGGTCTGAATAGCTAGGAAATAAACCATAGGGCTGGTAGTCAGCCGTCTAAAGCAGAACTAGTTAAAAAAAAAAAAGTCTCAAATCAGTAGAAGAAAAAGAGAGATGCCACACATACATCTACTGCACGTCTTTTCCCATCTCCCACACCCCCGAGGTTTTTGCTTCTTGTTTTAGTTTAGTGTTTGGTTGGGGTGGGGACCCCGTTTCTCGTCTTCCACCTCCAACCTCCCATCCAGGATTCACAGAGAAAAGAAGTCAAGGGCAATAGCTTCTCTGCTGAGGAAAGCTACAGTCAGCTTCGGGCTGTGGTGCTGGAAGTGACAGAGCTGGGAATCCAAGGCAGGCAGGCTGGCGCCGGGGCACGTCCTCGGGGCCATCACACTCTGTTACCTCTCACGCTCAAAGAAAGACGTTTGCTCGGCCATGACCAGGTAGCCACCATGAAGGTACATAAAAACCCAATTTTCTCCTATTTGGTGCATGCCCCAGAAAAAGTGTATCAGTTACATCCTAACTACTGCATTTTCGCTGGATAAAAAATAACATAGGGGAAACAAACAGCAACCTAACTTTCCCGTCTCCCGAAGCACCTGCCGTTTTATGATAATCACTTTATCACATTCAGGCAGAATGTGTATACTGTCAGGAGAGAAGTTACATAAGAACAGCATCTCATCATGTGCTTCTGTAGGCACTGTCTGCTTAAAAGTGGACTTCAACAGGATGAAGCAACGTGATGAGAGAAAAAGACGGAAAAAAAACAACACAAGACCAGGGGCAATAAGGAGCTAACTTCAGAGAGTGTCAAGAACCAAGAATTGTGTGTATTGAATAAAAAGACTCTCTAGTCTATTAAACTAATTCCCCCAACAGGGGAGAAAAGAACCATGGGAAGCAGGAGGAGGGGAAATGCAATTTACTACAAAAGAACTGGATTTTTGCCCTTCATTTCCCACCAATAACCAAATCATCTTGGTCAATCCGTTTAACTGAACCAGGCATGTTTACCAAACAGTAAATTGGGTTTAAAGCTACCTTCCAGAGAGGCAGCATGCTTTGTTGGTCAAGTTAACATGTGCAATTCACCCATTCTTTCCTTCATCCATCTAGTACAGGTCTTAATCTTGGCACTACTAATACTTTGGACATTTGGAGACAATAGAGGGCCGTCTGGTGCATTGTGGGATGGTCAGCAGCCCATCCTGGCCTCCACCCATTGGATGCCAGCAGTATACCCTCTTCAGCAATCCTGCAAACCAAAACTGTCTCCAGATATTGCCAAATAGCCCCTATTTGGGGTGGGGGGCCCAAAATTTTCCCCAGTTCAGAACCACTCTCGTATTTGAGTGACAGGGGCAGTTCTAGGTGCTGGGGATACCGCAATGAACAAACCACGTAAACTGTCAATCTTCAGGAAGCTTACATTCCAATCCCAGGGTGGGAGCTAACAGATTATTACCAAAATCCTCATCTAAACCAGTTCATCACCACCAGAGGCAAGACAGACATGAGCACGTGGCCTTAGCCTTAATTTTACCCCTTTATAGAACAGGGATAATGATAATGTACTGTCATCCCACAGTATAGGTAGGGGATTGGTTCTAGGACCTGATAACCAAAATCTGTGGATGCTCAAGTTCTATCGTCAGCCCTCCGTATCCACAGATTCAACCAAATGTGGATCCTAAACATTCTACATCATCTGCCGTTGGCTGAAGCAGCAAATGTGAGACCAACCTCTGGATACAGTGGCTCAAAACATCATGTTTAAATAAAATACTGGAAAATAGGTAATACACAGCTGAAGTCATCGATAAATTAGAATTTCATTAAAAAGTGGGACAACCAGACAACACAGGACTCTTGATGTAATATCACAACAAGATGTATAAAGCACGGCTAGGATGTATTTTCACAATGAATAAACATCTAAACTGAATCTAATGACGCCTACAGATTTAACTTTTCATTGAAGGAAACACGATAGATAACAGAGACACCAGTCAGCAACACCACGAGAATACCATCAGCCATTTCTATAATGCAGAAAATTCTGTTTTAAAAAAATGACCGAGGTTGGGGGAGGGTACAGTTCAAGTGGTAAGCGCATGCTTAGCATACATGAGGCCCTGGGTTCAATCCCCAGTACCTCCATTTAAAAAATAATTAAAGAAAAAAACCTAATTACCTCCAAACCTCCCCCTGAAAAAAATCTAAAAATTAAAAAATGACTCAGGTTCATCAAACTAAGTGCCAGGGGCGTGAGGACTGTGGGTAGAGGCAGGGGGTCATACGGATTAAAAACGACTTAAAACCTATCAACCAAATGTGTCCACACTGTTGAAGTCCTACAGGATTTAAAATAAGTATAAAATAACTATTTTGAAAAAAACAATAAAAATGGAACACAGGAGGAGTCCTGGATCACATGAATTTTGTTAGGTAAGGTAATTACATTCTTTTTGTCTTTATGATAGCATCCTTTTTTTTTAAGCCCTCATTTTTTTTTTTGAGATATACATTCAAGAATTTATGAATGCAGCAATATGATGTTTCAGAAAATCTTTAAAGTCTTATCCCAAAAAAGTGGCAGGAAGGAGACCCATGGAACAAGAAGGGTCAAAAGTGGAAAACTGAAGAAGGAAAATAATGGGCCATGAGGATTCATTATACTCCTCTCTCTGTTTACATATATTTGAAAAAATTTTAAATATGTTTTTAAATATAAAATATGTAATAGAAGTTGATTCTAATGTGTTTGTTGGAACCGAAATAATATTTACCAGAAAAACAACCCTGCATGTTGGTTAAAAAGAAATGATGCTGGGGGGTGGAGGGGTGGGCCCTGCCATTTGTTTGCCAGACAAAAATCACTGTCCCCGACAGAACCACAGCATAAGGACCACAATCGTGACTGTTTCCCATCCCTGTATTCTGTGTATCTGTTTCTCATCTAAACTCAAGCTATGTCATCATTAAATTCCTTTCTTTTTTAAAGAGAAATGCCGAGCCTTTTCTAATTCTCATCCTAGACATCTTCTATAGCAAATGTAAAACTTTAAAGTTTATCTTCCAAAAAAAAAAAAAAAAAAAACCTCATCCAGGACACTTGTTTTCAAACAGCTTTGTGTCTGTGTGTCATCATTATAAGCCTTTAAGTTCAAATAGTTTAAATTTAAACTAAAACACCTCTATTTTAGCCTAAAACAGCCTTCCTTCCTCACCATCTCAGAGTATTTAATTCCGAAAACTCACATTCCCCCATAGACTCTATTTCACAACCCAAGTCTATTCCAGTTCTGTTCTGTTGCAATTTATTGACCAACGGATGTTCAATGACTATGTATGCTTGCTGGAACATCAGTAGATACCTCATCAACATTCTCCTTTCTCATAAACTTCCAAGCTGTATGTGCAGAGCCGGCACTGCTTGTGTGTCAGACAGGCAAACAGCCCACTCCTCCCTCTGCCACTGAGAGGAGCTCACCTCAAATACTGCTTCAGGGCACTGGTGATTGTCTTCACTTCCCAATCTACGGAATTCTCCAGGTCCACCTCATTGCAGGTCTTCACATCTAGCGAGCAAGCAAGAAGGAAAAAAAACAATTAAAATCTTGAAACATTCAAAGGCCTTCTTGACTGGCTGACAAAGCTTCCATATTTAAATAGCCAAACCACAAATAATGAATTCTCTGGTTTCCTATAAAAGGCATTACACACAACTTCTTATAATATTATAACCCAGGTTCCATTATGAGACATTCCTTGCACTTCAGAAAATCGGTAGTGGAGATCAAAGTAAAAGGAGAAGGGTCGGCAGGGAGTTGGGGAGAAATGGACACAGCATTCCAATATGCACAACTACAAAGCAGGTACGGCTATGATTACTAGCAGCCACGGCTCACGTAGCCGTGACTTATATGGCATTTGCAGCATCGATATATTTTAACTTGTTTCCAGTGCCATTACTGCTATCATATCGTGTTATGACAGGGGAACAGGTAGCACCCTTAATGGCAACATTACTATTAGAATAGCAACAAGTCGGTGGGGAAGACAATGGTAAGTTTGGTCGCACACATCTAAGATTTGTAATCATGATCTTTCTAATGATTAATACATGATCAACCAAAGTAGACACGTGATGACAGATCAATTTAAAAAGTCTTTTATGGGTAATCTTTCACACTAACATTAGTTTATACACTCATCCAGGAAATATTTATTGGAAGCCTCTACGTAGCACTTGTGACATTCATCCTAAATTACACTAGATTTTTTGGTCCTGAAAGTATATTAATGACGCATTTCTTCTAAATGCCTTTTCAAATACGTAGTCTGCTCTAAAGAAGATGTAAAACATGCACTAAAAAAAGAAAAGGAGGAGGAGGAGGAGGAGGGGGCAGTTAACTTTGAAAGGAAAAAGTCAGTCCCGGTTGAAACAGAAGGAAAGGATGGTGGGGAGAGTAAGCATTCTGAGTATGCTGGCATCTCTGAGCCTTGAGGCTGGACCACTGCCCCGGGCTGTGACAGGGCAGCAGAGAGGGGAGTGCAGCAAAGGTTCATAAACCTGGGCTTAAATCCCACCACAACCCTGACCAGCCCCGCCACCCCCATGCAAGTCAATTCCAAACCTATCTGAACTGCAGCTCTTCATCTGCACAATGGAGATCATGTAAATGCTCTTAGGGAACTACTGACAGCATCAAAGCCAATCAGCAATGTATACAGATTTCCATAAACTATTAAATGAGTAGGTAATCAGCACAGCTGAGTTACCAAACATCTAAGCATTCAGTGGTGGTACCCACTCAACGGGAGGGAGCAGTGAATGGGTCGTGGTGAGTAACATCCACCAATCAGTAGAAACTTGCCTGGGTTTCTACACTGTGGTCACATAAAGGGGAAAATAAGAGATTTGTGGAAAAGACTTATTTCTCCCTCACTCCAGAATGATGTTTCAAATAAGATTCAAAAAAAAAATTTTTTTAAAGTCGTTTCAGGGTTTTTTACACTGTATTTGTCTATATTCGGAAGGAAACATCTTGTTAGTACTCCCTTTTCAAATTAAAGCTCTAAAAAGAAAATCCTGTCCAAATGGGACCACCACATTAAGTCATGTATGCCACTCAAAAAGTTTTAGGCTTAAGCACGAGGAAGGATGGGTGACAATGCAATGTTATTTCCCAACTTTTTGAAAGGAAAGTGAAACAGGAAGTGATGGTTATTTCATGGCCAGAACATCATACATATGGAGTCAATTACTCAAAAGTCTGGAGACTTTTTAAAGCACTTCAACAGTTCTTGATTACAGCAACTGACAGCAATATGCAATAAACCACAACAATGGCAATTGACACTGATTACATTTTGATCAGTTCCTACAATTCCGAGCTCATTTGTTACTGAGCTTGTCAGACAAGCTGCAGATACATTCAAGAAATCAAATTAAGTGCCCTGATTAAAGGTGCAATCCTTTATAACTAGGACTAAATAATTCTGTTCTGGAGGCTTTGCCAACCAGTTACTGCAGTAACTGAATATTCTCTCTCTCATTAAATCAATTATTTAAATCTCATACAAGTCAGATAACATTTTCAATCAACTGGCTACCAGCAAATTACCATTTTAAAATCCAGGAGGCTTCTAAAAGCAATCTTTTATTTTCTGCTTCTGACCAAAGGATCATTCTATATTTTGAGAACCATATGGAAAAACAAGCCATCCTTTGAATTCATGGAATAAAAAGTAGCGGTCACACCAGAAGCCAAAGACTACACAGTGTCTGTGGTACCGATCCACTGTTAAAGTTTCACTGTTTTCAAATCACTCAATCACCCCTCGCAGCTCTTTACAAGATGCCCTGGGACTAGATAAATTTGTTAATACCTTACTTGGGATTCAAACCTAAAAATGCACTTAGGAGTGTTCTATCAGAATATATGTTCTACCATAAATAAGGTAGAAATTCTGTCTCCTTTCTGGCCAAGGAACACCACCTCATGGATTAGTCTGAAACCTACACTAATAAGCACAGATACAAATAGGTGACTTTTTTATTTGGGTGAATGTTTCCTAATCATATAAACCAGTGGTCATTTTTTTGAAACTGGAAACTTCCAGCCCAGCCCTAAGCTCTGGCTCCCTACCGGACACTGACTTGGGTTCCACTTGAAAGTACCTGAAGCAGCACAGTGACTGACTGAGTTTTGAGAATATTCTTTGTCAATCCAAAATTCGAATTTTTTTTCACCTACATTAGTTTACTTTGTCACCGAATCTATGTGAAAAAGTTGTCCTACAAACAAACAAGCAAGGTGATATTTCTCAAGTAAAATCCTTCTAAATTAGTCTTATTTCTGGCTATGGTTGTGTCTTAAGCAAAATCATCCAGCTGTTTTTGTACATTAAATTCAGAAATAAACAGTAAATTCACCAGCACACACAAGCTACCACAGCATTTTTTTCAGAACTTCGCCTCCCTGCTTTGACTTCTTCATTGCAAAGTGGAGAAGAAGGAAGAATACTGGACAATTGTAACTCGTTTCAGTTGTAACCTACTGATAGCTATTGTAATTCATCTGTTACATTCTCACTCCACTTACTAAAAAACGGTGACTCACCCAAAGACACCTCAGCTGATATTTCTCCCTGCCTTCCCCAAATGCAAGTTTCTATTAAAAAAAAAAAAGCACAAAAAACACAAAAACTTTTACCAGACTATGTGTCTGCTGTTAGACAAAAAAAAAAAAAAAGAAGAAGAAAAGGAAAAACACCTGTAAAGGGAAGGAAGACAACTGCCCACTGGGACACATTATTATGGAACCTTAAGAAGTGTGGTCCAGGGGAAAGCTAGGAAGCTGCTGGAAAATCCAGCAGATGGCTACCTTCTGTCCCCAGGATGGAAGATGACTGAGATGGCAAACAATTCTCATCGCCCAGGGAGGAAGGCAGCTGCCCACTCCTTTACCTGACCTGGAAGAGTACAAATGATGTGCCTCTTTGGAGGAATGTCTACAGTCAGTTGCCATTAGTATTTCATGCATGGCGGAGAGGAGAGAGGGGGCAGGGGAGATGGAAGGGGAAGGGGGAAGAGGAAGAATGGAGAGAAACATTTTTCTCTACTTTAATCTTAAACATGAAGGGTAAAAACACAATCAAAAAAAGAGGCAAGTGAAGAAGACATGCAAGATATTAAGCATGCATCTTTCCTTTAGAAATAATCACAAACTTTTATGCATGAGTATTTAAGAATGCTGAAAATATTTCAATACAAAAACATTTTATGTAAAATGAAAATAACAGAAAAATAACAGTAAAGTCAATAATTAGGTCTTAAGAACTAAAGAGAACTACGCAAAGTAAATAGACTTTCTTGTCAAAAAATACAAAATGACCTGGAACTTTTTCTCAGATACTTAAAAGGTTAGATTATTTTTCATATCTACAAAGAAAAATGGATTACAAACATAATGGATTTTGAAAAAATTCAAGTTTGAGATAAACGTTACCTGGAGGAATAAATGTTTTTTAAATTAACCACCTAGTACGATGAATGGGCAAAATTATCAGATTTAATTTTCTATAGGAGGGGAAAATACTGACTGGTATGAAAAACAAAGTTAAAAATCTGGCAGATTCACCCAATTTTTTTCTCTCCAACATACATAACCTTGAAGCAATGTAGAGAGGTTGGGAAAAGCTGGAGAGAAACAGTATCTATGGGGCAGTGTGTATACAACTATTCAGAAACTCAAAAAAAAATTTTTTTTAGGAAGAGGAATAAATTATTTCCATTTGAACACTTGCTAAATTAGGAAGAAAGGAAACTTACATGTCTTAGGAAATAGTAAACAAAGCTACTTTGTTAAAATCCAAAGTTTGAGTTGGTAATGTAAATAACAAGAAAATGACATCAATGCTAAAAAAAAAGTCCACAGTTTATGATGGACAATGCTAAATTTCATCCTAGGAATTATTTATAAATGAAGTAAAACAAATGTATGCTTTGCAGCCCTCTTAAATGAATCACTTAAGAAGATAACAAGTCAGTTATCTTTTCCTTGAGTCAATTCTCTAATCTCTGTTTGCAGAATGGTATTACTGGAAACATTGCATCTCCTCCACCAGCAGCTTAAATGAGGTTGTATCACCCTTGTGCCCTGGACTTGTCTACCTTGAGTCTTAGGGAAAGCAAACACAGTTTTCCAGGTCATGAAGTTTTGAGGGTTTAGATATTTTAAACGCCTTGCAAGTTAAGGACCATCTTGGGACATTTCCCATGAGCAGAGGAAACTATCACCTTAGGGATGCTGGTGACCGCGTAGGATTTTACGAGACTAAGAACAAATTCTGAGACAGCTGAACACCTCAGGGTGACCAAAGAGACACTTGCTTGTTCGAACTTGCCTTGAACGTGAACAAGCAGCTAGTAAAATAATGCTAGGACCCTTAGGACCAATCTTATCACCAAGTGTGCCTTTCAGCCAAAATCTCCCCTTCTGATACCAACAGTCTTCCAGTTCTAATCATTATAACACTGTCTTGGAAAAGAGACGTGTTTCTAATTTTAAAATTAACTAAAAGCAGATGCCACAGCCCCATTAAACTCTTCCAGCTGCTACTGAACCACTGGCAACCCGAGTCTATTTAATTTGGAGACCACTCCTGGTAAAGAGGAAAATCTGACTGCCAAAACTGCACACCCAAGTTAAACCAGAGAGGCAGAAAATGAAAACAGCTCATAAAAGCAAATGTATTCTAATAAGGCTCTCTCTAAGGGATGATAAGCAATTTTTCCTGTGGTTAATGCCTAAGGAAAAAAAGGGGGATGTGTGCTGCTTATTAAATTCTGAATTCAAATACAGCCAAACAAGCAATGTTGTCTGTAACATCTCAGCTGATTTTATCCACCTCGGTTTATGCTTCCTGAAAATGAGTCTTTGCCACAATGCTTTAGGATGCAGACAGGTTTAGATGCATTGACAATACCCCCTGGGGGTTGTTAATATTGATTAATTAAAAGTGAGACATCAAATTAATTAAACTTAGCAAGGTCATAAGGACAGATTAGTTTCACACCAGTGAGTTATCATCACCCCTCAAGAGGCAGTCTGCTTTGGGCTGGGGGGAGAAACGGGGCATCTTACAGGTGGCCCCGAGCCGACAGCTGAGTGTAATGTAAAAGCGCTTTGTCATTCCCATAATGTCTGGGGTAATGAAATGAATTCACTTTCTGGCTTCCTCTAGTCTGCGATGCCAAAGAACACTGTGTTATCAGCACAGATGGAGCAGGCATGGCTCTGGAGAAGAGCCTGGTGCAAACTACAAACAAGCCACTGTGAATACCAATGAATCCCTGAGCATCAGACTCTTGCTGCTGAGTGACCGCTCTGGAAGCACCATAAAAATGAGCACGTCTCAGGGGTCTTGTCCAACCAAATGTACTGTCAAGGCTTCGGACAGGCAATTTGGAAGCCACACAAATCACAGAGGCCAGGCTGCTCCTTTCCTGTGAGAAGCAAGCACAGGAAGACATTCACCCACGAGCTGCGTTCTTTTCTTCCTCTGTTTCTCAGTAAGTAAAGAGGCAGTGGGTCACCTGTGCTGAGCAAATACTAATCTACTTCTCTGAGTCCGTCATCCCTGCTCAGGAGAAAACGACTCTAGGAAAAAACGGATTCACTAGTGTACTGCACGTGGCTGTGAAACATGAAGTTGTCAAGTCAACGAACACAAACACATAATGCAGGGGAAATGATTAGAAAAGAGGCATACCCATCAACAAGCTCAGAAGCTTCTGGACCTTTGAACTCACCCCCACAACTCTGTACAATCCTTGGTCGTTTATACCTATTGGAGGAGAGGACATGTTAGCAAAATACCAACAAAATTTTTTAAAGCTGTCAACAAATAGTCACATTTAGAAACTTTGCTAACTCACATTAGCAGCCTTCCTGTGACTATAAAAATAACTGGTCCACAAAAGCAAGTGTTTACCAACTTGTTTTAGCAGCTTGGTATTCATGAGTTATGGCTGGAAAATAATCTCATAAAACAATTCTCCATGTGCACAAAATGTAAGGAGCCGGTGCTAATGAAGTCAGTCGGCTAACCGTGCTAACATATCCCAATGTAATTTGTAAAGATACACTGTACCTCTCATGTTTTTTATGTTTACTTATTCTTGACATTTTTCCTGGAAAGTTTTAGCCTTTTAAAAATAATACGGTGCTGACTTGTACACAGAAAAGAAATCGTCGTTTGGCTGATTCTGGAAGACCATGGAAATCATTCACTCAAAAGTAAGGCAAAACAAGTTTTAAGAGCTGTTACATGCACTGCCCAGTGAGGAGCACTGAAACTTCAAATGAGCATCACAGCAAAATTATACATCACAGTGAACCCAATCACCACAGGGCCCTGGAAACAAAGCATCTCTGGGGCCAACAGAAAAGAAAAAAGGCAAGAAAATGCATTGTCAAGTATAACTTAATATGTTGGGCACATGATTTTATTTGGATTCTGATGTGAACAAACCAATTGTAAAAGGACATTTCTGAGGCAACCAGGAAACTTTGACTGGCATCGGGGTTATGTTAGAAATCACCTATTTTTTTGTCGTATACCGCAAGGGGTGAGAGTAACCTGTCTTAGATTTGCTTGATGAGGGAGGGAGGGATGGGTGGAGCGACTGTAGGAGAATCTTGATGGAGGTCATGAGGGTGGACCCTAATCCAGTAAGACTGGCATCCTCACAAGAAGAGATGAGGATACAGACACAGAGGGAAAGTTTTGTGAAAACACCGGGAGAAGGCGGCCGTCTACAAGCCAAGGAGCGGGACCCTCAGAGGGAACCAACCCTGCCGACACCCCATCTCAGATCTCTAGCCCCGAGAGCTGTGAGGAAATCACCTTCTGCTGTGTAAGCCCTCCAGTCTGAGGTACTTGAGCACAGCAGCCCCAGCAAACAGACATGCCCTTATCTCCAGAGCACAAAGAACCCACGTGCAAAGGCTGGCCCCTCAGCCTCCACGGGACTCCAGGCACTTTCAGGATGGGAAACGCTCACAGACTCCAAAAGAGGAGGAAAATGCAGGTCAGCCCTGCCAGGAGTTGGGAAAGAGAAACTACCAAGAAACACAGAAGTCAACAGGGTGAGCTGCTACAGGAGAAGAGACCAGACCTCACTCCTTCCTCCTCCTACAGGCTAGACGGCCATGTCCAGAGAGTCTGAAATACCAGAGGATTTTTTTTCAATGCTCCTCTATTGAAGAAACCTAAAATAGTTTAGCCTCCATGCCAGGAGCCAAAACAGCAAGTCATCTTCTGCAAACAAACGTGCCTCTGTGAGAAGTGCCCAACAGACGTAGAGAAATGAAGTGAGGATGCTATTTCGGCAATAATCATCACTCTGTGCTGGTAATTACCATCAGCTAATTGATCAAGTTCAAATTTATAACCTGAGAGAAGGAAAGTTAACTGCTAAGACATCATGAAAGGTGCGAGGGGGAACTCATGCTACACAACACAGTTTTTACTTCAGTAAAATGAAATTTAAATAAACCTCGTACAAAAGCAGCTTGGAAACAGCACGTAAACACATAACAGTCATGTAGGATCTTTTGTTTTAATCTGTGAGGTTTTTTTGTTTATTCGTTTTAATGGAGGTACTGGGGACTGAACTGAGGACCTCGTGCATGCTAAGCATGTGCCCTACCACTGAGCTGCACCCTCCTCCACTTGAGTCATGTAGGGTTTTTGGTTGTTGCACTGTCCTTTGAAGTTCTAGACTAAGAAAATCAGAACATACTTTATATCTAAGAACATGCATATCGTATAAAAGACATCATACAAATACATTTGAAGAATATAAACCAATCAGTATGTCAAGTCATAGGATTTCAAAGCGTATCTTTTTTTTTTATTATTGTAGCATAGTCAGTTTACAATGTTGTGTCAATTTCTGGTGTACAGCGTAATGTTTCAGTCATATGTGAACATACATATATTCCTTTTCATATTTTTTCAATATAGATTACTACAAGATACTGAATATAGTTTCCTGTGCTATACAGACAAAACTTGTTATCTATTTTATATATAGCAGTTAGTATCTGCAAATCTCAGACTCCTAATTTATCCCTCCACCCCCTTGCCCCCAATAACCATGTCTGTTATGTCTGTGAGTGCTTCTGTTTTGTAAATAAATTCATTTGTCTGTTTTTTTTAATTCCACATATGAGTGATATCATGTAGTATTTTTCTTTTTCTTTCTGGCTTACTTCACTTAGAATGACATTCTCCAGGTCCATCCATGTTGCTGCAAATGGCACTATTTTCTTCATTTTTATGGCTGAGTAGTATCCCATTGTATAAATACACCACAGCTTCTTTATCCAGTCATCTGTTGATGGACATTTAGGTTGTTTCCATGTCTTGGCTACTGTAAACAGTGCTGTTCTGAACACTGGAGTGCATGTATCTTTTTGAATTACAGTTCCCTCCAGATACACGCCCAGGAGTGGAATTGCTGGATGATATGGTAAGTCTGTTTTTAGTTTTTTTGAGGAATCACCTTCCTGTCAAGGCATATCTTCTCTACCTTCCCTTCCCAATTTCCCTCTTTCAGCCAAAGAGGGATCACTATTTCTTATCACCAAGTATCAGAATTTTGAAATTTTATTTGATTCCTCCCTGTCACTTTCCAAACTCCACAGATTAACATCTACCTTTTCTTCACACTTCAGATCAATCTCTGCTTCTTCAACACGGCCTTGAACTTTATGCACACACATTTATTAGGGCCCGTGCACACACACACAACCATAATCCATTCCGAACACCATCATCATTTTCTCCACCTTTTTATTTTTTGAGCCACTCTGATGCTCTCAGGTCCCCTCCATCCCACTGAAGAGTAAGTCATCCAGTCAAGTCCAAAGCCCTCAGCTGAACGAGCTCGTAAGGAAGGCATAACACACAGCCCTCCAGAACAGGCCCCAGCTCACCTTCCTGCATTCACTGCAGAGTATCCGTTGTAAATCAGAGCAGACCCCTGACTGTCATCCACCAACGGCCAAACTCATTGCCTCCTCAGGCACAAGTCTCCTCTGATAGGAAGGTCCTTCCCCTTCGCTCCACTGATTACTCATCTGCCAAATATTTACTCATCAAATACGTGACAGGTGCTATTCCAGGTGCCCAAGATTCAACAGTCAGCAAAATCAAGTCCCAGCCAGACCTTCAAAACCAGAAAAAAGGAAAAACATGCCACCTTGTCTGACACCACCCCACGGTGATGCTCCTTCTTTTGGAACATGACTTTTCACTCCTTTTAACACCTGATCACATTTTTCAAAACAAGCCCACCATCTCTTATTCACAACCCCTAAAATCAAAAATCTGAATGCTTGACCTGACATCTGGTTATTTAGGTATTTTTCCCCACTCAGTGTCAATATTCTTATTTCACCACGTTCAAAGTAATTTCCACCCCAAACTTATCTAGAGCTGCTCTGTGCTCTATAGTATATGTCCCATATTACAGTCTCTCAAACACACCCACCTCAGAATTTTCAGATAGAGAATTGGGGACCAGCGTTCTTCCTTCTCTCCCAAAATACTGAGATATTATCCAGAAAGATACTAGGTTAACCTTGGTTTTGGGGGTGAGGTGAAGGGGGAGGAGAAATTGTTTGTTATTAATACCTTTCACAGTGCCTTGCACAGAATGGTAAACCTAGATGATTTGACTTGAAATAACTTTAGGACTACAGATATAGATTGGACTTGGGCCAAAACAGACATTTCACGTAGGAACTAAAAACTTACAGAATTAAATATCCAAGGTATTACAACTTTTCCAGCATATCAAAGCTCACTGACAGATATCATTACTATAATACTTTCTAATTTTTAACAAAAACCTATAATCTGGTCAAAGTGTTTATATGCCCAAGTTTTTCTCCTTTTTAACAAATCAAATGGGTTCTGGTCATTACAAAAAGAAAGGCAAGGGCTTTCCACTCAGTGATGAGCAGCTAACGACAGCCAACCCTGGGCAAAGTGGCTCCAGTGAAATCAAATGTGTCTTCCTTCTCACCACCACCCATCTCCCCCAGTTTCATACAGTGCTGTCACAGAGCACCACCCACGTCTTCCTTGAGGAGAGGGTCAGGAAGGAGCAATGAGTCAGGTTGCATCATCATATCTGTCTCATTGTTTCCCTCTCGGAACCCAGATGCTGCTGCCAGCGCCAGCGTCCGCTCCACCCTGGGAAACGCCCGCGTGGACCACTGGTGAATACCCAGAGGCCCCGGCAGGTGGGCTGGAGAATCCGAGGAGAAATGAGATGCTCTGTGACAAGAAAAGAACGACATGCAAAATCAAAAAACGTTTTAAAGGGCTGGTAGAGTCTGTTAAACAGCAGAGGGGGAGGCAAAGGCTGGGGAGGCTGAACTGACAAGTGAACGTGGTGAGCAAGAAGAACACAAAGTGGCTCTCAGAGTCAAGGAAACAGAAGAGAGAAGACAGGTAGTAAAGCTGCACACAGGAAACGTAAACAGGGAGAAGAGGAACGGACAATGAAAGGCAGGAGAAGTAGGAAGGAAACGAGAAGGTAACAGGCTAGGAATTATAACACATTTCAGTTCCTGTTAACATCATAAAAAGTACTGAGTACTTACTATATCCCAGACACTAATGTGGAATCCAGGGAAGACAGAGGGTAAAATTAAGAAGAGTTAAAATGAAAAGAGAGAGCAACTCGAGGCCAACCCAGCCATAAAGTCTTTACTTCAGAAAAAGAAACTTTTGGTTTCAGAAGCAGACTCTGTGCCTGAAAGCACATG